GAAGGACTTCGGACATTCTTTCGTAATTCTTGACGAAATCAAGTTAGTTGTCTCAATGAACTTGTTTCTGCAATTCAGAGCTTTTAAGTCTTCATCAATGGCTAGTCTATATAGGGATGTAAATGAGACGAGATCGATTCGATCTTGGCTCGATAAATACTCGGATCGAATAGATTCGACTCGAGCTCGAACTCGACTCGAATTCTTAACGAGCCAAAACGAGCTACTCGATATTCGACTCGAAAAGCTCGTGAGCAACTTAAAAAAATATTATATTATAATTTTATATTTTTTAAAATTACATTATTAAAAATATATTAAAAATACATTATTAATGAATAAATATTTTTGAATTGAAAATTGTTAAAAATTATTTTTGAATAAATATTCTTATATTTATTTTAAATTGATAAAAAAAATTATTTCTCTAATGATAAATATTTAATATATTTCTAATAAAAATATTTGTAATAACTAATTTTTTAAATTATTGTTATATTTTGAGGTTTTGGGTTCAAATATCATAAATATCAAGGGTTTGAGCATTTAATATTAAGATATTATATTGTACTTACCTCATAACTAATTATGTGATAAGATTTAGGGTTTAGGATTTAGAGTTTATGTGATAGGATTTAAGATTTAAAGTTTAGAGTTTATGATTTATGTGTTAAGGTTTAGGGTTTATGTGTTAGGGTTTAAGTTATGCCATGAAGGTAACATACAAATTATGCAAAATGATGTTATGTGGCTCATAAATAAATTATTCACATACTTATACATAAACATGTCAACATGCAAAATAAATATACACAACTAATTAAAGAAAACAATCATAAACAGGGACTAAATTAAGAAAAATCTAAATGTGAGGACTAATTTAAGCTAAAATTTAAATAATTGAGGGACTGTTTTGTACAAAACGCATAAATCTAGAGAGCCTAAAATTTACCCCTAAGGATCAAATTCGAGTTTGAGTTTGAGTTTTAATCGAGTTCGAGCTTGAATCGAGCTCAAAATCGAGCTTCAATCGAGCTCGAGTCTCGAGCTTCAATCGAGCTCTTGAATTTTTTTTGAGTTTGAGCCTTTTCAAGTTCAAGTCGAGTTTTAATATTATCTTTCGAGTTCGAGTCGAGCTTGAAAATTTTAGGCTCACGAATTTTCGAGTCGAGTCGAGCCTACATTTAAAATTTTCGAATTCAAGTCGAGCTCGGCAATACTCAAACTCGAACTCGACTCGACTCGTTTATACCCCTAAGTCTATAAAGACGAAGGGCCAAGAGGCTTTACATTTTATCAGATGACAAACATGGTACGAGCTTGTCTATAAGGTTTTTTTTGGCCCAACAGTGCAAAAAATTTATTAATTAGCCAAGTGGGGCATATATAATTTATTTTGAATTCTACGATATTTGCTACTGTATTTAAGAAATTCGATCACGTTAATGGGAAGAGTTTATTTAAATAATATTTTTATTTAAATTAGTCACCTCGAAGTGACAAATTCTAATAAAATATTTTTTATTACCACATCGGGATAAAAAGTTTGAAAACAAAATATTTTTATTAGAACTCATCACGTCAAGTTAACCAGTTTCATACACTGTATAAAATATTATATATCCCTAAATAAATTACTTTGTACCACATTAGGGTAAATACTTAGTATGCCTATGCTATTTGGGCAAAAAAACCATAAGAACATAAGGAGCATGAGTGGTAAAATTAGCCTAATAGGCCTAGCAGGTAAAATAATTGATCCATTATGAATTATTTAAAATTAATTTGAAATCTATGATATTTACGATAGTGATTTCAAACTCGTCATGTGAACATAACAAGTTCTAATAAAATATATTTTTATTGAAATTTGTCACTTTAACAGGACAAATTTTAATAAAATAATTATATCTTTTAGAATTTGTCACGTCAATTTGAAAATTTTAAATAAAATAAATATTATTTGAGTAAACTCGTCATATTAACATGACGAATTTACCTTATACTATAATATTTATCGTATATCCCAAGTTAAAACTTGGATTGATTAGTGGACTATTTTTTCATCTGTTTAACTTATTGAGCCAAATTTATCAGCTTGAGTTGGCCTCGTTTCATGTACTCCAAACTTGGGCTCTTGTTTTAAAGATTGAACGCGGTCCATAGGCTCAATTTTTTTTACTTCCACACTATATTTATATATGATTCTTAAGTTTATTGTATATTTATACAAAATATTTTTATTATAAAAATATAATTATTAATTTAAAATTATATTTTATTATTATTATGCACAATTAATCTCTTTTCTGTATTAAAAGAAGATATACACTTTTAAATTTCAAATTTATTTCACTCTTAACTATCATATTTCATGTTCTATTCATTAAATAAATATCACCGGTCGAATAACCTCTCACGTAAAATCTTAAACCTATATGAGAGTCTTTTGAAATCTCGAGTGTTACACTCAAACTCACACGTCGGGTTTCTCTTATACTAAAATCTTATTTCGTGTTCATTTTTAAAACATTTAGATTTTCGTGTTCAGTTTTAAAACATTTAGATACGAGATTGAATTTTACTCGAACTAAGGGGTTGTTTGTTTGCCTCTTAATGGAACCATTCAGCGTTGAATGTTGAACCGTTCAACATTCAACGCGTTTGTTTCGCACATTTGAATGATTTAGTGCTGACTGATTTAGCAAAACAGTGTTGAATGATTCAGCACATAAATACATTCTGAATGATTCAGAATCATTATCAAATAGCCCGTTCAACATTCAAAGCGTTTGTTTCGCACATCTGAATGATTTAGTGCTGACTGATTCAACAAAACAGTGTTGAATGATTCAACACATAAGTACATTATGAATGATTCAGAGTCATTATCAAACAGCATGTCACATTCAGAACTAATTCATACAGAGCCTCTGAATCATTCAGCATTTGAATCATTCGACGCTTAATCATTCTGAAGTAAACACACAACCCCTAAGTTAAATATGAAGCTTTGAATTTCGAACTGAACTCGAGCTTGTACTAATAATATGTCAATAACCTTTGGCTTAGAAAATGTGTGGTTTTCGGTTTAGCACACCAGGCTTGTATTAGAATATCGAATTTCTAAACTTATATATTTTGAATAACATATAACTCGTATACATATTTGTAAATTTTCTTAAAATATATATACTCTGCATTTTTAGGGCTCTTATGCTGACATGGAGCACACATGAGTGAATGGTGATTAGCTTTTGTAATTTACTTCTCACCAACTTAAAATAGAGATGGGCACGGGGTGGGGTGGGGTGGGGCGGGCCGGGTTTTTGGCCGCCGGGTTTTTGGCCACCCCTACCCAAAAATACATACTTAAAACCTGATCTGTCATGTCTGATAAATTTTAGTTTTTTTTTCACCCAGACTCATTTTAGATTAAAATTTCGACCCGTCAGGAATATATTAATATATTTAAATAATTAAAATAAATTAATTTATAATGATTTATTATATTTTAAACAATTAAATTAATATATTTTATAATAATTTTCTACAGTTTTAATAATTAATTAATATATTTTAATAAAAATATAAAAATATTAAATATAAAAAAATGATCAAATCGAACAAGATTAATGATTTTTCACCTTAAATCTGATAATATACAAATAGTCCCCCGACTATACGATGTTTTTTCATTAAGTCTTTTGACTATTAAAAATTATAAAATGATCCTCTTATTATAGAATATTGCTTTACTAAGTCCCTCAATTATTAAAAATTACAAAATAGTCACTCATCTATTCGTCAACTTCTGAACTCATCCTTTTTTTGTTAACAAAATTGATGGTTGTCTAAGTTTGACGTTAACATGATGACTGAGATATGATAGTTGTTTAAGATTTCGGGATCATATTTTATCATATCACAGTTAGCAAGTTAACGTTTAGCTAATACCGTTAATTTTTTAACAAAAAAATATGAGTTTAGAAAATAATAAATAGTTGAGTGATCATTTTGTAACTTTTAATAGTCGATGAACTCAACAAAACAATACTCTATAGTTGGAGGACCATTTTGTAACTTTTAATAGTCAATAGACTTAATAAAATAATATCCTATAGTTAGGAGACCATTTATTTACTTTACCCTTTATTATTTTAGGGTAAAGCGTATCAAAGTTTAGCTAATTATGTTCAAATGATTATCTTGGGTCAATATACCTTTAAAAATTATTACACAAATCATTAGATTTATTAAATTGTTATAAAATGGTTACTATTATGATATAATTATCATAATTTTTTAATAAATTTAATGGTTGTTTTATAATTTTTGAAAGTTTAATGACCAAAAACAATAATTAGATGATAGTTTACCTATTTTCCTAGTTAGCTTGTGTAACTACAAGAAAAGTGATGAATTTATGACTATGATTAACTTTCAATTTTCCTTTCATCTTTGGCTTAAAATTCAATGAAAACAAAATGTCAATTTCTTTTTACTATTGTTATTGTTTTAAGTAACATGAAAATACAGTGTATTTTTTCAATTAATGCTTGTAAGATAAGTTACATATATTGTATTTAGGGTAAACTATACATTTAGTACTTAAACTATTAATTTTGATCCGTTTTAGTATCTAAATTTTTAATTTTTTTAAATCATACCTAACGTTTAGTTTTTGTTTCATATCTAAATTTTTGTTTCATATAAATACCTATGAATGGCAAACTCAGGGATCAAAATTATCAAAATTCGGGTGAAAAAAAACCAGGGATCGAATTTTGAAAATGGCAACTTCAGGGATTAAAAGTTTGCTTATCCATTAAAAAAGTTCGACATAAATCGGTTCAACACGTGTCATTAGTTTACCCACTTGTCAGAACTACCTACGAATCATGCCCCGTCGTTTTAGATCTCCTCCGTCGTTTTAGATCTCCTCCCTCACCCGATATAAATTTATCCACCGCTTTTTCGTCTCTCCATTTTTTTTTATGTAAAATCGAAAGAGTAGAATCCAGGAAATCATCTCTTCACGACTTCCCACCAAAAAGATCGGGAAAAGAAATCCGATTAGGGTTTACAGAGCACAAATTTCGTGTTAAAATCCCCAATTTCCATCAATCGGGTCACCGCTCGATCACGAGACGTCATCTCCGGCTTGTTCCCGCCGTCCGATCGGCCCTTTTTTATCAAAATTATGTTGGTGGTTTCTTTTCTATTTCATAACCCAGTTGTCCCCAGAACAATTTCTATCAAATCAATCTCGTTCCATTCCAAGATTTAGGGTTTGTTTTTTAAAAGGATTATCAAATATTTTCATTTCCTTTTCCTGCTTTGATCAAACCATACAAATTCCGTGAATTCGGTGGTTAGGGTTTGTAATTTTGTGCATATTTATATATTTTCTGTTGAACTCTGCGGCTATGTATATTGAGGAATTGAAGGTAGGGGGAGAAAATAAGAGTTATTGTGAAAGTAATGAGGTTTTGAGCATAGAAAGAAGTTCTGTTGAATGGGATGCGAAGAGGATATTGGTGGGTGCAGGAGCTCGTGCTCTGTTTTACCCGACCTTGTTGTACAACGTTGTTAGGAACAAGATTCAGGCGGAGTTCCGGTGGTGGGACAGAGTTGATGAGGTATATAGCTTAGGTTCTTGTCTTGTTCATCCAAAGTAATTTTTGTTGTTGAAGATGGTGTTTTATTATTGTGTTGTTTTAGAATCTATATTGTAATCTGCTCACAAGTGCATAGTTGATTTGAACTTGAAATTTTTTCGAGTCCAGATTATGAAATTACAACTGAAATCGATTTGAGTAGAGTTTTTTCAAGTATAGTCGAAAAAATTTTGAAGTCTTGCTCACCCTAGTTTTCCCTTTATCTAATATGATGTTTCTTTTTTTCTTTTTTGAAGTTCATCCTGTTAGGTGCTGTTCCATTCCCCGCTGATGTTCCGAGGCTAAAGGAGATCGGTGTTGGCGGAGTAATCACACTAAATGAACCTTACGAGACTTTGGTTCCTACACCTCTTTATCATGTGGGCATTCTGTTCTAGCACATATACATTATACATTTTGAATGTTGTCTCATTTCCCCCCGGGTTTCGAGTTTTTAGGCTGATTTTTCGTTTTCATTATGCTGTTTTTTTAATGTTGCCTATCTTGGATCCTTTGATTGTTTCCAAATTTGTTAATTTCTTTCAACAATTTTGTTGTAGAATCATGGCATTAACCATTTGGTGATCCCTACAAGAGACTACTGCTTTGCACCATCTTTGACATCAATATGCCGAGCCATTGATTTCATTCATAGTAAGCCTCCTTTGAAGGGGTTGCTTGTGTTGGTCAAACTTGCCTGAAAATGGCTTTTTTTTAGTGAAAATTATGACATAGTTCAAATGTTTCTCCATTCTTCTGTTCTTAGTTATTTTCTTACTGAATGTTCCCTGTTTTCATTGTTTTTTTCCTCTAGGAAATGCATCACATAGGGAAACTACATATGTCCACTGTAAAGCTGGCCGTGGTCGCAGCACAACCATTGTATTATGTTACCTGGTTAGTGCTATATAAACTATAAATATGTGTTGGCCACATCACTTGTTTGTTCTAGATGCACTGATATGAATTCTGGTTTTAATATAGGTCTATTATAAGCAGATGACACCTGCTGGGGCATATGATTATGTGAAGTCTATCAGGCCAAGGGTGCGGTTAGCCTCTTCCCAATGGCAGGTATTACGTATCGGGTCCCACTTTCTCTAATCAAATTCGGGAATAATGCATCCATACTTGTTTTTATCGAAATCACAATTCCTGAAGCAATGTGCTTGATTCATCTCTTTGTTGCAATTTTAGGCTGTCGAAGAGTTCTACTATCTTAAAATGAGAAAGGCTGCCTTCCACAGCCATGTGATGGATTTAATTTTAAGAACTTCAGACTCAGCATCTTCACGAGACCTTGTGACTTTTGATGATGGTTCGGTGGTGGTGGTAACCGAAGCTGATCTTGATGGATACGACCAAAGTCTTGAGCCAGGTGCCACGGGAAGCAGCATATGGGCAGATCTTAGTGTAGTTTATCGGGCTAGAGTTGTCGGTCAGGCGGCATTAGCAAGAATCTCATGCTTGTGGCTAAGCTGCCAAGCACATCAAAAGCTTTCAGCACAGGAACTTGCTCAGGAAAGCACCTGCCTCGGACGTGCTATCAGTGTGGACATCCATGTCTACTGAAAACCGCTGTTACACGGCATGTTGTGTAGGTACCGTGCCCCTTTTCATCTTGTCTCGTACATAAATAAACTGCGAATAATGTTTCTTTAGGCCGAAGCAAACTATGTTTGTTCTTCCCTTGTAAATCGAGTACACCATTTCTTATGAATGGAACAAAAAGATGGAGCATAACTGCTCAAGGATCAAGTGTATATCATTCTCATATTATATGCAAGTATTTTGCCTGTCTTAACAAAGTGCTTGTGTGGATTGATGTGGCCCTGAAATCCACGTGTTCTTATGAATGGGATTTCGATTAGAGTATTCGTATGAAAGAATAAAGACAAACAATCTGATCAATCGATCAAATATATTTATTCATAAACATCATTATTTATCCATACACTGCTGGGAAAGTCTAAGGTCATTTTCTTTTGTAACTATCGAAATTCACTAAAATTTTAAATTAAATATTAGTTTATAGGAGGCACTGTCAACATTGTGTGCGGTGTTCGGTGCGTGCATGATAACCTCAATTATGTATGGTTTAGGCCCTTCCTTTTCAGTCTCTATTTAAGTCCACACTTTCGTGTGTACGTGTTTTCATTAAAGCTTTCAATTTTCTAGCTGTAATCAACAAATTCGAATATTTTTTAGTTAGTATGTTAATGATGTCCTAAAATTTTATATGTATATCTCATTTAAAAAAAATTATATTATCTTATCATTTTTTTAGAGTCTGATTTGTCTGCTCGATTACTCTATTTGATTGAGGAGAATATGGTGGTGTCACTTCGTGAATAATAACATTTTGTGAACAAAATTCACCGAATAGTTGAATATATTCATCGTCACAATCACTATTCTTACCATCTTAATCTATTTATTAAGTTGGTTTTCAACTTCATGTTTATAGAAATCAAATTCTTTATAACTTGCCTTTTCTCTTAAGCTATGAGACATTATTACAAATTTTAAGAACTTGACCATTAAATTTTCCTTAGCGTTAGCATCTTCAGTTTCATATTTATAGTTCAATGTCATCCATAATTCTCTAGCCATTTTAAACATTGTACACTTGAATTCATAGGGTGATTTATTTGTTGCTTTAAGAAGCTTGTTCTTCACTTCTTGGTAATAAGACTTCGTGAAACGACCCAGTTTCCTCCTATTGGGCCTCAGCTCCTCCTTCACATCAGCCAACTCTCTTTCTTGTATTTATAAAACACAGATTTCTGTTCTACCTTGATATTAACCAACAATAACAGTTGTTCCAAGTGAAAACCAGTTAGCAAATCACATGCCAAGATTTCGTCTTGTAGCTTCCATTTTCAACAAAAGATCTTTAATATCTGCTTCCCTTCTTGTCTTCATACTGTAGTATTCCCTGTAAGCTCCTTCCGGAGCTTGGAATTCTTCGATCTTTTGTTTATGCGTTTCTTCAGCCTCGGCCAAGCGTAGTTTCGCAACTCTACTCCTGTACTCTTCTTCAATCTTTTCATCCTTTTCTATTGCAATCCGCCTTCCGCTTCTCTTCTTGCATCATCAGCAAGTGTCTGGTACATTTTGGCTTCCCCTTGTTTGATTCTTATGATGCTCTATAAAGATCGTACCACAAGAACATAGAAAAACGTATCACAAAGACATATATTATTATTTAAAATTAAAAAGACTAAAGAAAAAAAGATAATATAAAAAAACAATAGAATTAAAACCACATAAAAAAATATTAAAAAAGGACGGCTAGGTTTCTTTAATCGAGACAATATTTTATTATATGAGTATCTTAGTTATAATTTAATATGATAATTCTTAGTTACAATTATTTTTTAGTAATATTAGTTGTGTTATTGGCATTATCCAATTCAATTGAAACGGCCAAACCCAAGGTTTCTTTCAGTCAATTCATTGATCGCAGACTTTTCTTGAACCCGCGGGGGACCTTTCCACGTAGTACCCATTAAACCAGAAAATATCCGTATATTTTCATTATTACCATTGAAGACAACAAGGTTCTTTGTGTAATTATTGTGTAAAGTGTGGGTTTTTGCTGGAAATCTTTGTCTATAAATACACATAATTCATCTCTGAGCTTCAATCCCACTTGGTCTTAACGTTCGCTATTCAATTCAAGCTCTCTCTTTCTTCACCATTGTCTTTAATTTCTTCTGTATTCTCCGGTTCAGTGATCCATGCTGATCGGCGTCGGCTCGACTCTTCCGGCTCAGAACTTGAACGTCATCCACGCCAGGCGAGCAAGCTTCAAGTGCCATAGATCACCTCTAAACCCATCTTCTCAAAAGCCCGTTTCGAGTGTTTCATCGGCATCATCTACTGAGTCAACTCGGGAACACCTTTCAAACCTTGAAAAACTCCTCCAGCAAACAAACCAACCGAAACCGGAACCAGCCATCAAAGGTTCCAGCAATGGGTTGATCCAACCCAAAGGTAGAGGCTTACAGGAAGGGCTAAATCTGTCCAGGATTTGGCCGGAAATGAAAGCCGCCGAAGATATGTCTCCGAGCCACCTGAATAGGCTGAAGAGGCTTTTATCTAAAACCATGGAGTATTCTCCGAGGAACGACCTCGGTTCTCGCTGGAGAGAGTACCACGGTTGCAATGATTGGTCCGGTTTACTCGACCCGCTCGACGAGAATCTCCGGCGAGAAGTCGTTAGATACGGTGAGTTCGTTCAAGCGGCTTACCACGGTTTTCATTCGAACCCGGCAATGTCGACCGACGACGAGACTCCGTTGCCGAGGCACGTGGCGTTGCCCGACAGGTCTTACAAAGTGACGAAGAGTCTTTACGCCACGTCATCGGTCGGGTTGCCGAAATGGGTCGACGACGTGGCTCCAGATATAGGGTGGATGACCCAGAGGTCTAGTTGGATCGGGTACGTAGCGGTTTGCGATGACAGGAGGGAGATTAACCGTATGGGAAGGAGGGATATCGTTATCGCTTTACGTGGAACCGCTACGTGCCTCGAATGGGCTGAAAATCTTCGAGCTCAACTGGTTCAAATCCCCGGATCTAAAGATCCGACCCGAAGGGTCGAATGTGGGTTCTTGAGCTTGCATAAAACACGTGGCGCTCACGTACCAAGCTTGGCCGAATCAGTGGTCCACGAAGTGAAGAGGTTGATGGAGATGTACGAAGGTGAAAGCCTTAGCATTACGATCACTGGGCATAGCCTTGGCGCAGCGTTATCGCTCTTAGTTGCCGACGAGATAAGTTCATGCACGCCCGACGCCCCACCGGTAGCAGTGTTTTCTTTCGGCGGACCTCGAGTCGGTAACAAGGGCTTCGTCGATCGACTCAACGAGAAAAACATTAAAGTGTTGAGAATCGTTAACAACCAAGATCTGATCACTAAAGTTCCGGCCCTTCCAAGCTTGTTCATCCGCGAAGGATCCGAACAACAACAACAAAAAGATCATCTCTGGACGTATTCTCACGTCGGAACAGAACTACGAATCGATACTAAAATGTCGCCTTATTTAAAATCAAATGCCGACATCGCATGTTGTCATGATTTGGAAGCTTATTTGCATTTGGTGGATGGGTTCTTGTCGTCAAACTGTCCGTTTAGGTCGAACGCAAAGAGAAGTTTAGCTAGATTACTTCATGATCAAAGATCGAATGTAAAACAATTATATACACACAAGGCCTTGAGCTTGAACCTCGACAGGGACATGTTTAGCTTCCCTATGGCAAGTTGTTTGCCGAGTCCATCCCAATAATAAGCAAAGCTTATTAATGGGATTGAAAATGGAAAACACTTGAACATATACAAGGGTGTCCCTTATTCTTTATTTATTTTGTAATTTAGAGCATCACACTTCCAAAGGTGTATACAAAACTGTCCCCGATATTTCCATCACAAAAAGACATTAAAGAATTCAATTTAGAATGGAATAATACCAGGATTGATATAAAATATTTAAATTTTAAGGATCAATTTAGAATAGTCATACTTTTTTGAATGCCCTCTCAATTTCAAGGTTTTGTCTTGACAAATTCGAAACCGACTCACGTTGTACACCTGATTTTAATGGGTGAATCTCCCAACAAGGATTTTTTACATACATAAAAACTTGAGCTCGAGACTTGGCTTAAATAATTTCAAGCTGCTTACCACTTGAATAACCTTTGTTAGTTAGAATGGTCATACTTTAATGATTGATATAGAATGTTTTAAAATTTAAAGATCAATATAAAATAATGATCATAGCTTAAGGACCTCTTTTGCAATTAACTCAATATATTCTAATTACTAACGAATATTTGCACTGTATAAATTGATTCGAGTTATAATTATATAGATACATTAGTTGTATTTACAACTTTACATGTAAATTGTACTAATTAATATTGAGTGCCATCATAATTGTACTTTCGAACAGCAATTATTTTTATTATTTAAAATAATTAAAAGAGGTTGATCAAATAATAATAGTAGCAAATGGTTTAAACAAATATTCATATTTTTTTTGACAAAATGCATTCGTGAAATCAAATAGAATTAAAAGAACAGCAGTTGAAGAGAACATTAAGGAAACACAAAAGGTGAGAACATAAAAAGCACGTTGAACCACTTTATCTATCAAATGGCATAAAATAGAATTAGTTTTCTTTTTTTGGCTACATGCAACAAGTAACACAAAAGATATGAACCCACTATTTTTTTTTTTCCTTTTAAGACGAGCAACATCCAGAGTTCTGGTTCACGGGCTGTCCTTTGAGCTGCACCGATGGAGGTCTCGCGTTGTTCATGCCTGGTTGGCTTGCCATCCTGGATACAATCGTTACAAAAACGTATAAATCGAATTAAGTTTTACACTAGTATAAGTAAATCCTATACCGTCGAACTAAGTTTTAAACTAGTATAAGTAAATCATATCCCGTCGAATTAAGTTTTACACTAGTATAAGTAAATCCTATCCCGTGTACATCATATGTATCATTTAATCTTGCTTTTTTTAACTCCACTGTCAATGTACATGATAATTATCTATATCTCTTTGATTGTGTGTGTGACACATGAGGTACAGTACCTGTTCTTGATTGCACCAGCCATGGCCATGAAAGCCTCTTCTACATTAGTGGCATCCTTTGCACTGGTTTCCAATAAAGGAATCCCAATTTCATCTGCAAAAGCCTGTACAGAGGAAAAATAAGTCATGAGCGAAGAAAAGTTTAGGACTTTATTCGTTACCTAAAACTATAATAATCTGCGACACGTTCGCATGAGTAATCGATTTACTTTAGCCGTCTCATATGACACAACTTTGTTTGCTGTTAGGTCACACTTGTTCCCAACTAGAAGTTTGTTCACATTGTCACTAGCATAGCGGTCAATCTCATTTAGCCATTGCTTGACATTGTTGAAACTCTCTTGGTCCGTCACGTCATAAACAACCTGCCAAGATCACAAGCAGCTCAGAGTTTAGTCCTTCATAAAGAAAACTAAGGGGCAGAAGACATGGATAAAAGGATGGATGTTGGCTTACTATGATTCCATGAGCACCACGATAGTAGCTACTAGTGATTGTCCTAAAGCGTTCTTGGCCTGCAGTGTCCCACTGCATATCAAGAGACAAGCATGAAAAGGCAATCAATAATTGACAGTTATCAAAACAAAAGATACAGCCTTTTAAGTGTATAAACCATATCATAAAGAAAAACAAAAGTATTGAACTTATAAAGAATTTCGTAAAATTAGATTTGCCTAGAACAGAGTGAATGAACGCAACACGGTTAAAGCAGACCAAACTAAGGGTGTACCAGATCATGGTAGGCATTCTAACCAATAGTTTTGGAGGGTAAAACTCAAAATAACAAAAGAAAAGACTACTGACTTACAATTTGGAGTTTGATGGTTTTTCCATCCTGCTCCACGGTACGGATTTTCTGCATTTGGGAACACAAATCATAATTAACTAACTGCTAATATGTCTCAAATAAACAAACCAATAGTATACAATGTATCAAGACGACACTCACAAAGTCAACCCCAATGGTACTGATGTAACTTTCCAGGTATGAATCATCCTGATTTCAAAAAATAAAGAAGAATGATTTTGAAAAGATTAATCTTAGGTAAAAAATAAAACTATAACAAATCACGAAGCTAAGATCTAAAAGGTTATGAACTTATGTTCAAAGGGGGACCGAGAACTTACAGCAAACCTCAAAAGTAGACACGATTTCCCAACACCAGAATCTCCAATAAGCAAAAGCTTAAAAAGATAATCACTGTCAATAAGACAAAATACTAAATTCAGAATACAAACACAATATGTATTCAAAATCTCAACGTAGATAAATTGAAAGCTCGTAAAGCAGCCAATCTCCTTGTTATGGCTTGAGAATATCAACAATCAAACAAAACTCACGTGATTATTCCATCTTTAAGCCTAAATTTCTTTGATGCATACAAAATTCTCCGGAAACTGTTAACTAGGTTAAGAAATTACTTCCATAAAATCAAATATTTTAGCTACAATTATTATTCCATAGCCAACTTAAATATCTAGAATATCAATAAACAGATCTGAAACAGAAATCAACCGGATCCGGTTCAGAAAGCAAATCAATAATCAAAATAATGAAATAGACAAATAAGATATAGAGAAAGCAAGAAGATCCATGGGAAAATAAATGTAAAACATTAATTTAAAATGAACTCAAAAGGAAATTGGAAATTTAAAGGTTTCCCCCCAGAGATTGGAGAGATAAAAAAGGAAAATGACAGCTTACTATTCGGGATTCATGATGGCGGCGAGTTGGAATAAACTGAAACCACGAGGTGTCGGCGGAGATGACGGATGTGGCGAGTAATCGGGGCGTTACGGTGAGAGTTTTCCGGTGATTTGATATCGTCGCCGGTGAGAGAGAGAGAAGGAGAAATCGAAGAAGCAAAAGCTACGCGTAGGTTTATTGTTGTCATAAATAAAAGAGTCAGAATTGTTGGAATTTTATTTTATTTTTATTTATTTTTGATGGGAATTAGTGGGTGTGAACTGTGACGTAGCAAAGGTAACCGAAAGAACCCACGTGTGCGCGCATTCGGGTATAGTTAAAGTTACAATTTTGAGCATCTTCTTTTCTTTAGAAAAAGAGAAAAATTCGTTCTATAAATATTTTTTTAATAGAAATCATTAATTTTATTAAAAAATATAATGAATTACAATAAAAATTTATAATTATAATCATAAATTAGACACACAATTATGATATTTTCTTAAAATTATTGACTCAAAATTAATAATTCAGATCACATAAATATCATACAATGAAAGATTATAAAACTTAATCAAAACTCGAACAATGATAAATACAAACAGATCTGATTGAAACGGAAAACGAACTGCAAAAAAATCAAGTTATTGAAAGACCATCGATAAAATCACAAATTAGAGTCGAACGGCGTGAAAAAACTATCAACAAACGCAAATCAAATATCCAAATTCATCACGAACCAACTTACCTCAGTGGCTAAAGAAATAATTGTTGTTCATGGAGGACACAAGTTCGAGCACCAACAACCGTAGCATGTGATTGAGCATTCATTGTCAAATGGTTGAGAATATTTAGAATAAATACTACTTTGTAATCACCTTAGCTTCATAAAAAAAGTATCCAAATTCAATCTGAGGGTTCAAAGTAGGAAAGATCAACATGATAACAAATAAATAGTCATCTTAATTAGTCGTGATGATATCTAATCGACCCTTAAAAAAATAAATAAAAAATAACGGTCAAACGATCAAAAAATGTGTCAAAAGCAGAGTAAAACATGTCATAAAGGCCAGATTATAACATTGCATAAAAGATACATTTATTAAGAATTAAAAACAAGAAAAACAATAATGACACGATATAAGAAAATAAAATGACAATAAAAAATACTGACGATCAACAACCAACATCAAAGTTAATATCACTATCGATAAAAAAGATTGAAAAATATAAATGAGAGAAGCTCGTTATATAAATATTTAAAAGTTAAAACCTTTTAATTATTCAAATTAAAAGTTCATTCTATACCTCAATAATCATATAAACTGATAAGCTAACTTTATTAAATAGTATATGATATATCTATTGGAAGTGGAATCCGATTCGTTTTCTTTTTATCAGTGGTACTTTTTTAGGCATTGTTTCTCTTTATCGTTTGCATAAAAACTATTAATTAATGATGTAATAATTATATTTTGTTTATCCTCTCGTGGTCGATAATTAAATTAATTGAATAAGTAATTACAAATCATATTTCAGAGGACATTTAAGTCATTTTCAAACATATAATTTAGTTTCTCGTAGAGGGAAATATTTTCCATTGAAGAAGACATTTCCTTGCTACTTCATTTACGTGTGTATGTAATTTTTGTGCATGACACGAAACAACCTTATGATAATTTAAAATTACGTATAAGCAACACCAAACAACTTACCTAGTGATTAAAATAATCGTTGTTGTTTTTAGAGATCACGAGTTCAAGCACCAACACTAACATAATGATTGAACGTTAATTGTCAAATAATTAAAAGTATTTATAACAGATATTACTATGTAATTACCTTAGCTTAATAAAAAAAAATACATATAAGCACGAACTGACTTACGTAAGTGGTTAAATGACGTCAGACAGAATAGTGATTATCCTGTAGGCTAGCTCCGACAGACGATTCACAAGAGAAAATTCGCCCAAAAACCAGAGAAAAAGTCTCTAGGGTTTAATAAAATATTATA